TTTGTGTGAGGGACTGATGACAAATACTAAACCTCACATATAATTAAACCAACTCCCTCACTCTCTGCCTCTCATTTTAAAACACAAGCACACTATAACATCATTTTCAATTCATTAATGTAATACCACATGATAGAGAGCCTCCTTGGGAATAAAGGCATCTTGTACAATGGTAAACTGGATACTCATGGGCCTTCCATATTCTTGCGGCTTGTGCTCTGGAGGTGGCATCACCCAGAAGCCACTTGCACTCATACCCTGTCCTCCTCCTCGTACATAAGGGGCTATGGAAAGTCAAATAAAATAAAACTTATTTATCTTAGTTTTTTCCTGATAATCTTTAGAGCATGTTAGTATTTAACAAGGAGTTTAAAGACATTCACTACCATTAAAAATTATTTCACGCAACATTTCTCAAATGAGTACAGAATATGCAACATATGATTCCAAATGTTGCACATCATCTATAAACAAGTATATATTCAAATAATGATGGCAAACAGTTGTACTTACATACAATAATGCCTATACAAGGTGTATAGCTTGCATCATTTGAACCTTTCATCTTCATCTCATACTCCAGTTGAGAATCAATATCCCGCAAGCTCGGCAATGGTGGTGAAAATGGATGTGTGTGGTACCTAAAAGCAATAAGCACAAAATTTAATGATAAGAAAAAATAGTTGAATTCTAAATGCAACCCTGCAATTCAACAGAGTGATTCTCCCTTGGCCTAATTCCTGAAATTGTAACATTATAGCCACTCAAGCAGAATGATTCCCCTGCAACAATGCACCTCCAGGTGCTGCTGAGGGTTAATCCTCATTTATATATCTCCCAGACTCACTGATTAATAATAGCTGAAACAGACCCATCCAAAGCTACGTGTCGTCACACTGACACTATAAGCATATCTTTGAATAGCAGGGATCCCCTGTATATCACAGAGATTGAACACTTCTGATGAAATTCACCATAATATAGCTGTTCTTGAGGAAGAAATGGAAAGAACAGTACTTATTCCTGAAGCTACCTACCATCCAACTAATGAGAGATTCAATTTCTCCATTTCTGCATACAGCGCTTGCTCCACTGCACGACCCTTTTCCCCATCACCCAGACGACATCTGACTGGCATGGCATGAGAAACAATCAAATCTGAAATAAACATTGTAAAACTGATTGAAAAACTGCTTTGCCTGAAACGAGTTCCCACAACCATAACAACCTTTTCATACATGTCTCCAGTCCATTCCAAGAACACAGAAGACTTACTATGGTTAGTGACATCCCACTGTCCAGCCAGGTAGCCAACTACCTCAGAAGTAGTCAGGTGGGCATGAATGTCTATCATAGCCATTGCCGATGAAGACATGGTCACGGTAAAAGGCTGCATTCGACCAATGGATTGGAAGGATGTCAGCTCGACCATTGTATTCATGTCACTAGGAAAGAAAAAATACATATAAATAAATGAAAAAAGCTTACGAAGTTTATTCACAAAATCCTATATTCAAACATTTCAAAATCTTTAGGAGGGAAGAAAGCTATCCACATATTCTAGCTACTCCACCCATCCCACCCCACACCCTTGAAAAAAATTAACGTCAGTTTCAGAAATCATAAAACTACAGAGATAATAATAAATACTCACTGGTTCGGATGCCTGTTCCCAATGAGCTCAAACTCGACAATCTCCTGCTCATGAGGACCATCGCTGTCACTGTCCGTCATCTCTTCTTCATCTGCAAGAAAACAAATGAATCAAGGTCGGAGAGAGAGAGAGAGAGAGAGAGAGAGAGAGAGAGAGAGAGAGAGAGAGAGAGAGAGAGAGAGAGAGATGAGAGAGAGAGAAGGAGAGAGAGAGAGAGAGAGAGAGAGAGAGAGAGAGAGAGAGAGAGAGAGAGAGAGAGAGAGAGAGAGAGAGTGTGTGTGTGTGTGTGTGTGTGTGTGTGTGTGTGTGTGTGTGTGTGTGTGTGTGTGTGTGTGTGTGTGTGTGTGTGTGTGTGTGTGTGAGTACTTTATATCACCAGACATGTGACACCTATTCAGGACCAAAGCCGCCAGGCATAGCAATTATAGAAAACATTAAAAAAAAAAACAGAAAAAACAGTCTAATTTCCTCTTAGTCTCCATGGAAAATTAGAAATTATAACTGAATGTGTAATTTGAAAAATGTGTGTCCCTTATCAATAAAATCTTAATCTTCTATATACCACCAAATTGTTGAAATCAAAAAATTATTCACATCCTCTACATTCAAAGTATTTTCACTAAACTCTATATTTGCTGTAAAAGGAAATAACTCATCAGTCTGGTTTACTTAATTTAGTTAAAACTTGTTACAGATATCTCCTCCTGTGCAATTCATCATAAATTACATAAATTCTTATTAGCCTCCACTTTAAATTTCACATCATCTTCACCTTGCAACATATATTATGAATCATATACTGTGTAGTTCAGTCGGAAACATTAGGTACAAATTACTATAAATCCCATTAATATGATAAGAACTTTCACTGTTCAAGAAGGGGGTCACAGTAATATGTGAAAACAAATGCACATTCTACATCAGTTAACTAACTTATAATACAATAAGTAAAAGATATAGTGAGGCTTCAGTAAGGAATCAGTATAACATTATTCAAACTGACTCAAGTTTAAGTTTCATTACTAGTTAGGTTGTTAGGAAAGACAAACTTATTAATCCCTTTATCAAATAGATATTAAACAAATATGAAACAATTGGGCATCTTTAATACAGATACTCAACTCAAAGATAGATACATGTAAAAATTTCTCACCCAATGCCTCGCCTTCCTTCTCAAATTCAATCCTCTTCTGCCTGTACCAATTGTTCTTGTAGGAATCTAGCTTCTTCCCTCGGTAGCGAACCTGCAGAGCAATTAATGAGAAAAAAAATTAATACATATCAAGAAAGGAAGAATGGAGGACAAGATGAAAAGGCAATAATGGAGGAAAAGAAGAGAATGAATGAAAGGAGGGAAGGATGAAAAAGGAAATTACAGAGGGAAAGAGGAAAAATTAAATAATGGAGGGAAAGACGAAAAAGGAAATAAAGGAGGGAAAGAGGAAATAGGAAATAATGGGAGGGAAGGATGAAAAAGAAATTACTGAAGGGATGGAGGAAAAAATATAGAGGAGGGAGAAGGGAAAGGATAGCAAGGAGGGAAAAAGAGAAGGAAAGAAGAAAGAAAAGCAGAAATGCAGGACAGAGAGGATATAGGAAAGCAAAGTGGAATCACTCCTTTTGCTAACTTACCAACACACATCCAACCAAGCCCTCCTTATTGGAAAGAAGAATTTACGAAACGATAAAATTTAATCCTGATACCTCCCTTGAACAAACGAGACCCACCTGCTAGGATAGGCCAAAAATTACAATCCTCTATCCACTAGCTTACAGATCCCCAACCACAGTCAAAATTATCCACTCGGGATGGAGCAGACCTACCACTAGCATGGGTATCTAAACATACAATAATCCATCACAACTTACAGACGCCCAGCCGCAGCCCGACTTCTTATCTGGATTGACTATCTTCTTGCAATAAATGGCCCACGCACTTGGTGTTCCGAAGATCTTGCTCGTCTCCTGGGACTTGATTCTCCCATCGGGCAGCAAGTCTCCTTTGAACTTGTTACCCTAAAAAAGTACAGTATGCATGTATTTACCGAGAAAATTATATTTAAAAAAAGGAGACATATGATGCTACTTTCATCGTGCATGACGCTGCTTCTATTTTACTAATTATTATTAATTATAATTATTAATTAATAATTATAATTAATAACTAATTATTAATAATTATCTAACCCATTATATATTAGTTATGAATTCCGAAACTTTTGTTAAAATGCATTTTAATGATCTTACAAAGGTCTTATGGATCTATGTGTGTATATCTTTTTATTTCTTTTGTGTGTGTGTGTGTGTGTGTTTGTGTGTTTGTGTGTGTGTGTGTGTGTTTGTGTGTGTGTGTGTTTATGTGTGTGTGTGTGTGTGTGTGTGTGTGTGTGTGTGTGTGTGTGTGTGTGTGTGTGTGTTTGTGTGTTTGTTGTGTGTGTGTGTTTATGTGTGTGTGTGTTTGTGTGTTTGTTTGTTTGTTGTGTTGTTTGTTTATTTGTGCATTTGTGTGCATGTGTTTGTGTACATGTGCATGTCAAATGTATACAATATTCATTACAAACCCAACTGAATGAGTATGGGAAAAGGTGTACTGCACATCTACATAATATTTACAAATGCACCAACAGTTTCAACAAGAGAGTAAGATCAGACTGATATAAGGAGCCATATTAACGGGACAGCTAGGTCAGGATCTGCTATCTTTCAAAGAAAATCACAATAAGTGAAGCTTGTTTTATAGAAGATAATTTAGCTCTTCTAAAAACACATAAAAAGGTACCTGAAAAACAAAATGCTTGTAAGGACTCAACACTAACCATATCAACCCTTAGCATTTTAAAATCTCGGGTTGGTGAGGGATTTACAATTGGGTATCAATTGCACTGCTTCGTTTTGAGTAGTTGGTCACTGAACATGCTTTCTAATGCCCTGACATAGGGGCATGTGGCTTGATAGCTTTTACGTGCCCTAAATGACCCATCAAAACAAGGTTCTTCACAAGTTAAGAGAAAAAAACCCTGTTAAGACAAGGAACATAAGAATAGATGCAGAAGTTAGCAAGTGCACTCAAATCACCGGCAACACATCAGTGAATCTGACCATGTGAGGACGCCTCTTTCTCTCTCTCTCTCTCTCTGTGGAACTGACTCCTTATGGTATGAGTGGGCATAGGTCTAGTGTGAATGGTCTTGGTGGGGCCAACCACAACCTTACCAGATAGTTGATGGTCATAAGTCCCTCGCCAGGCTGTAAGACCCGCTCCTTCACAAGAGTCTTCAAGGTCAGACCTCTGCCCGTGCTCCTACCATGAGTCACCTCCTCAACCTCTTCTTCCTCCTCTTCTTCATCTACTTCCTCGTCCTCATCTACCTCATCCTCTTCCTCTTCCTCCTCATCAATCTCTTCTACCTCATCTTCAATCTGGATTTCTTCATGAGTAGAAGGCTCAACTGACATCTTTAAGCTTGCAACTGAATTAGTATTTTTTATCTTTCAACGCCTGAAAATCATTACAACATTAAATTCCCGATGATTTGGCTGGATGTCCGTCGGTGTAGGGTAACGTGGACTGCTGCTCTATTTCACCCCACACAAAAGGTAGAACAAAAGGACACCCCAGAGGAGGATCACAGGCAAAATGTAAAAACCATTAAAAAGCCATTCCAAAATAACAAAAGCTTGATGTTGATCTCCAACTACTCAAAAGGAAACAGAAAACAAAATCCCAACACAACAGCCAAATCAATTGTAAAATAGTGAAACATATCAGGGAATTAATGGGCAATGATATCACACTTGTAAGCATACCAAAACTGCATTCTTTGCACAACTGCAAAAAGCCTCACCCCAAATCAGTTCTCCTTTATACTAACAATATATCATATAATAATAAAAGGCAAAAAATGGACTCATACAACATTCATCTGTATTTACATGCCTTCCCCTTGTCATTTTTAACAATGGGTATCACAACTGTGGTCCATATTCCATATATCATCTACAGAGAAAAGGATAAAACACACAATTTATCTCAAATTTTATCAGCCTTTATACATGCCCAACTATGAAAAGTGCATGACAAAACAAAGTATGGACAAAATCAGGTGCATTGACATTTTGCATAAGAACATAAATCAAATAACATAATAACAACAACAACAAAAAATCACAAGAACAGGATAAAAGATTTCTTGTACTTTTTATTATAAATGTTTTTATCTAATTACAAAATTCAAAACATATATACTTGACATAAAATTAAACAAATAACAGAAGGGTTTAGCTACCAGATATTTCAAACTCAGTATGTAGGTACAACATCCATATTTCAGCTGACGTCATTGCTATGGTTGAGGACACAAACACAAGACTATTAGGAAAAAGATAAAAATCAGTTATGGAGAAAAGCATTTTAAGCACCACAGTCCCAAAATCACATTACATGTTCTTTTTACAATCTACATTACATCAATGCTCATCTCTCATCTTGCTAATCAGGACTTCTCAACGGAATAATAATGTGAGATTAACATATAATTTAGTATATAAAAAACAACTTTACTGGGAACAACTACAACATAACAACATGCACAGTCTAGTAGTTTTCAGCTATATTAGCTTCAACTACTCTCAGAAAATAAAAACATGTAGACATTCATAACTAAATCACATCTTTTGCTACATAACTTTCACACTTGTACACATGCTATGATATTTATAACAATGTCTTGACTAAATAAAATCAAAAGTGATGTCCATAGAAAAGCAAGTATCTGCAGTTAGAGAAGCATGTGACAATAGAAAAACTTTTTTATATATCTTGACAAACTTGCTCAAGAGAGAACAAAATATAGAATTGTTTACTCTTCCTATTACCACAATAACAGATGTGAAATAAAAATATGATATCTTATACATAATGATAGATACTAATGATAGATCTTGAGGTACTAGAGTATTTCTTGCAGAGTATATAATTAACAATAATAAAAAAATAATAAAACAAATATGATAAAAATGCTTCAGATTGACAGCCATCACCAATGGGACACCCCAAAGGATACTATTCTTTTTAAAGATATAACCTAACTGCCAAATGCTACTCCGCCCTTCCCATGTAGTCATTTAATACATCAGATATATACTAATACAAACTTTGGCCCTGTGTTTTTTAAATGAAACATGGATTCTACAAATAAACAAATGGATATCTATAGCTGTGTATACAACTTTGCACATTGCAAAGGAGATTCTAAAATGCAATTTTTTAAAACTGAAGTGTGTGAACCATTATTTTAACTGCATAAAATTCCTATGTACTGTATGTACCATTCCCACAAACGTAAGTCAGTCAGGTAAGTCAATCCATGGTAAGGTCTGTCATATCTCCCTTACGCACTTATAATGGCCGGCAAGATATACTGCCCAATCTTAAAGCATAAGAGATTTCAAAGCTTTTATATCACCAACACACTACATAAAGCTGGGAGGCTGGGTCAGAGTATTGATTTTAACACATCATGTTCGAAAACAGTAATCTTAAAGACTGTCAAATCTATTAATTAAACTGCCGACCTGAGTTTGGTAAACATGGCAATAAACCTTACTGATATCACAATGGTAGTATTACACATTTAGTAAATTTAAATGTGATGTGGCATACCTACAATTATTATCACTGCAACAATTGTAAAGGCAAGTGACGCTTTTTGTGCTTTTTTGATAAAATACAGCTATAAAAGCATAGGAGACAGCTCAATTATCCTGTTAATTCATTAAAGCGGCCTTGAAGTTTTTGTTAATATTTCTAATGTGGAATAATCTTCAACAAAGGAATATTTGCATAA